CATGCCTGTAGTCCCAGCTACTTGGGAGGCCGAGGCAGAAGGATCGCCTGAGCCCAGGAGTTTGAGGTTGCTGTGAGCTAGGCTAACGCCACGGCCCTCTAGCCCGGACAACAGAATGAGACTCTGTCTCAAAAAAAAAAAAAGAAAGTTATCTGTTGGCGGAGAACACCTGCAGCATACACTTTTGACCGCAAATGTATTTTCAGAATTTATGTCTGTGGTTTCTCTCAAGCTTGTAAGAAACAAGAACCAGAGACTCCTGAGTCTGAAAGTTAATGATAGAGCTTTACAGTTTTATGCTGGAGCCATGCCCCGTATCTGCCCTTAACTATTACTTAGAATTGTCTTCAAGGTTAAACAGTCTGTGAGGGATTTAGAAAAGGGCTCAAAATTTCAAAAGTGCTGAAGGTGGCTTTTATTTTGGATCCTAAATTCTCTTTATACTCTGAGCCATTCTATCGTACCTGCTCCTGCAGTGATTCTAGTGGTAACTGTGTCTGATAGAGTGATACAGCACTTTAGTTGCTTAAATGGATTTATTAGTTGTCAAGATGATATAATTTTCTATTTCTTGGAAGTTACTATGGAAACTAAAACCTTGATGAATTATATATCATTTTATTTTATAATTAAAAAGTATGAAAGTTTTTATTGTTTATAGGTTGACTATGGTAATAATGAAATACTGTCTTTGGAATCAGACAGGACTGGGTTTGAGTCCTGTCATAGCACTTTATTATATTAGTAACTGTTCTGCTTCAGCCCCAGCTGGTCTAACACCAACTGAGTATGCTATAATTAATTCTGACGCTACTGGAGTTACATCCGATCTAACCAGTTAATGGGTCAGTGCTCTACAAGACTGCCTATACATAAGATACCCCCTGCAAGTGGTGTTCCCAGGACACTCACACTTCTGACCAGCCCACTGCAAATTTGGGGATTCCCATGACCCCCTCAGGTTCGATCATTGGCTAGAACAACTCACATAACTCAGGAAAGTGCTATATTTAACGGTTACAGTTTTGTCATAAGAAATACACATAGGGTGAGATCTGGGAGGGAGCACAGGGGAGCCCTGTCCAATCAGAGCTTGTCACCCTCCTGGCATATCAGTGTGTTTACCAGCTGGGAAGCTCAAAGTTACAGCTCTCTAATCACACGCTTGGTTTTTCTGGTGACCAATCCCCATCCTGAAGCTATCTATGGGCCCATCTTAAGTCATCTCTTTAGCACAACAAAGACACTCTGGTCACTCTGAAGATTCTAAGGATTTTTAAAGCTGTGTGGCCAGAACCAAGGGCAAAAACCAGTTGTATTTTACATTATGCCACAGTAACCTTGGGCATGTATTACTTAATCTTGCTGACCATCATTTTGTATTTATAAAATGGGATAATGGTCCCTAAATGTCAGGATTTTCAGAAAGGTTAAGTGATGTTGGTAATGTATCTACCACAGTGGTAGGAAACAGCACATAGCTGTTGAGTAAGTATTACCATGGTTGTGAGCATATTACTATTTGGAAATAGTAGTTGGAGCAGTCATTAGGCCATAAAATCACAGAGTCCTCTTAGAAGAAAGCTTGAAAGTCCCCTCACATTTGGACAGAATCACATCCTACCTTTCCTAAACAGATACAGATCTTTTCTAACATATTTCAAGAGACAATTGTCTTAATCTGATTTATGCTGCTATAACAAAATACCTGAGACTGGGTGATTTATAAAGAGTAGAGATTTATTTCGTATTGTTTTGGAGGCTGGGAAGTCCAAGGTCGAGGGGCCTGCATCTGGTGAGGGCCCTCTTGCTGCATCATCCCATGGTAGAAGGTGGAAGGGCAGAAGAGCACTCCTGAGAGAGCAGAAGGAAAGGGGCTGAACTTACTTTTTTTTATCAGGAACCCACTCGCAAAATAACTAACCCACTCCCTTGATAACAGCATTAATCCATTTATAAGGCAGAACCTTCATGACCCAGTCACCCCTTAAAGGTCCCACCTCTCAACACTGTTGCACTGGGGATTAAGTCTCCAAAACATGAACTTTGATTGTTGCATAGCAACAATTGTTGGTCTCTTGAAATAATCTATTCTGCCTTTAACAGTTCTCACCATTTTTGATGCTTGTTTATTGTAAACACCTTTGTCTTTTAGTTTAATCTTAGTAGATTATAAAATAATAAGTCCTTCATGTCACTAGATTTTCCTTAAAAATTCATATACATTACCTTTTCTCTTGAGTTTCTCACCCTGATCTCTCTATCCATCTCTACACATTCTCCGGATTCTTCTTAGTTGTGAAACCCGGTACTGAATGAGGATAACAGTCTGTATTTACTTTGACCCATGTTAAGAATGACAGATGAATCATAATGTGGCACCTGTGTTCTGTCTTTACCCATCGGTGTGTATACTGTCTTCCTCCCCGCCCCTCATCCATCCCCTTTTCTCCCATAACAAACCCCATTGCACTGAAGGATTACATAAATTTAAAAATAAATGTTCTAGATCTTTTTCACTGTTTTTCATGCTTATTCGGCAGTTTTGTTCCATTGTATACTATCATGTTACATTATTTTGATTGCTTATAACTTCTTTCTGCTTAGCTTTAAGAAATCCTTTCTTTAAAAAAAAAAATCCAGCTTTCTTTTGGTCAGTGTTTAAAAAAAAGAAATCCCTTCTTGCCTGATGTTCTGTTTAGCTATCCATATGTTGATTGGCTCTATTTGGCCATTTAACAATATATATATATTTCAAAACATTGTATACCATAGATATATATAATTTTTCTTTGTCAGTTTAAAAATTATTTAATCAATTTTTTAAATAAAAAATAAAAATAGCCAAAAGATTTGTATAGACACTTCACCATAAGAGTTATACAAATGGAAAATTAGCACACAAAAAGATGCTCAACATCATTAGTCATTAGGGAAATGCAAATTAAAGCCGCAGTAAGCACCACAAACCTTAGAATAACTAACAAAAATTTAAAAGACTGGCTATACCAAGTATTGATAAGACTATGGAGGAATTGAAACTCTCATACTGCTGATAGGCATGTAAAATGATACAACTGATTTAGAAAAGAGTTTGACGATTTCTTAAAAGTGAAGCATACACCTACAGTGTGATAGTTATACTACCAGTATCCCACCCTTAGGTATTTACTGAAGAGAAGTGAAAACACATACAAAGACTTGTACAGGAGTATTCAAAGCAGCTTTATTTGTAGCAGTACAAAACTGGAAGCAAACCACATGTTTATTATCAATAGGTGAATGGGAAAGTAAATGTGGCACATTCATACAATGGAATACTACTCAGCACTAAAAAGGAATTAATTACTGATACGTGCAACAACTTACATAAATCCCAAAATAATTATGTTGAGTGACGGAAAGCAGACAGAGTATACACTGTAATTCCACTTGTATGAAACTTTAGAAAATGCAAACTAATCTATAGTGACAGAACAGATAGGTGGTTACTAAGAGTGCAAAGGGATTCTGGAACTAGATGTTTGAGAACCTCTGCCCTATAGGGTTGGAAGGCCCTTAGACAGGCTTGTTGGACAATGCATATCTAATATATCTAATAATATCAAAAGTGTTATGCAATAATCTTTTATCTCCATGTATTAAATCCTGCCATCCCAAGAGAAACTTCAACAATGTTGAATATTGATAAAACTATTGGGTAAATATATAGCTTCCATAAGGTGACTAAAGAACAATGCTAAACAGGCTTGGAATTTTAGCTAAAAAAGAAATAATTCTACCTCTTTATAGAGGAGCAAATCATTGGTTAAGTCTTAGTATATTTAGTAGAAACACGAGTCTCATTATTTATAATTATTAATAGGTAGGCCTATGTATGAACAGTGGTCTGTCTTATCACCGTGAGCTATAAGAATCTTCACATTAATGGTTGAGGGACTGTTAGAAATGATTTGACTTTAAAATGAGCTTTTTGTGGAGGAGCTGGGAATGTTCATAATGAGCTTAAGTGTCAGGCCCAGTGTGGGACTTGCCCTGTACTCCTGGTACCAAGAGCCTGGCAAGCCCCAAGGAGGGTGAGTTTCTTAGGAGGAACTTAAGGAAAGCTGCCTAGAGGAGGTATTCTTTGGGAATTCCAACATGTATAAATGAGGAAGGGGACATTTCAGGGAAAGGCATTACTGAGAGCAAAGTGAAGAAAGCATGAAGCCACTGCATTGCGCAGGGAACAGCAAGAGATTTGGTAAATAGGCTGTGGGGGTTGGAAGAATGTGTAAAGAAAGATAAAGCTGGAAAGGAAGAGGGTGAGATCCTAAGGGGCCTTCTTGCCATAGTGAGAACTTTAGGCTTCATTCTGCGGTGGGGAGCAGGAGTTGAGAGAATTGTATTTGTATTTAAGGATGATAACCCTGGCAGCATTGTAAGGAGGCTCAGACAGGGGAAGTCTAGAAGCTGGGCTTCTTCTAGTTAAGGGGGCTTACATTTGGCCTTAACTGAGGGTTGAGGTGATCAGAGGCAGAGGCAGACTTGATGGAGATTGTTCCATCTCCATCAAGTTAGAGGGAAGGGGGAAAACCCCCTGGGATTTGGGAGTTGGGGATGACCTGGGGTAGTGATCATTATCTGAGATAGGGAATCCTGCAGGAAAAGCAGGTTTAGGGCCAGAGGTGGGGGTGGACTTTTCATTTCCTTAAGAATGTATTTTGATGAGCAGAAGCTCTTAATTTTAATCAAGTATGGTTTATTAATTTTTTATCTTTAAAACAAGGGCTTTTCTCATCTCTTTTTAAAAATTTTATTTTACTTAAGACTTTTTCCTCCCTTCTTTAGACATCATTGACCCAGCAATCCTGCGCCCAGGCCGGCTGGACAAAACACTCTTTGTGGGTTTACCACCTCCAGCAGATCGTCTTGCCATCTTAAAAACTATCACAAAAGTGAGTAGAGGAAATGGTGTATTTTTGTGTATGTTTCTCTTGTTGGATGGCTGATTACTTTCATTTCTGTAGCTTTAAATATTTGTTCAACTGATATCTCACAAAGGGAAAGTGAACTGTTTAAACTGGTTGGGAGTTCGGCTAGGTTATGTTAATAGTTTTGCCTGTCATCAGCACATAGTTGGTGGTCAAAGCTGTGAAAACATGTTGTTTTAGTTCAGTGGTTTTCAACTTAGGGCAATTTTACCACCACCCCATCCCAGATCCTCTGGGGACATTTGTTTATCACTGGACAGGGGAGTGATAACACTGCTAAATATCTTACAACCCACAGGACAGCCAACAAAAAAGAATTATCGGCTGGGCACGGTGGCTCACGCCTGTAATCCTAGCTCTCTGGAAGGCCGAGGCGGGTGGATTGTTTGAGCTCAGGAGTTCGAAACCAGCCTGAGCAAGAGCGAGACCCCGTCTCTACTAAAATAGAAAGAAATTAATCAGACAACTAAAACTATATAGAAAAAATTAGCCGGGCATGGTGGCGCATGCCTGTAGTCCCAGCTACT